TTTTCTTTTCCATTATCCCTCTACCCTGTATACTATAGTAGCTTCCATTTTCTTTTCCATTATCCCTCTATAATCCCAATATAACCCCTATTTAACCCTATATACTATAGTAGCTTCCATTTTCTTTTCCATTATCCCTTTATAACCCCTATATAACCCCATATGCTATAGTAGCTTCCATTTTTCTTTTCCATTATCCCTTTATAACCCCTCTGTAATACAACCCCCCCATATAACCCTTAACAAGGTAACCCCTATATTACTCCCCTAAACCCTAAACCCTAAACCCTAAGCCCTAAACCCTAACTCCTATATAACCCCAATATATCCCTATATGTGATGTGAATGTTTGGGCAGGCTGTGGCGCAAGCCCAGGAGGGCTACAACTTGGAGGAGCTCACCGAGGCATCTTAGGGTTTAGGGTTTGGGGTCTAGGGTCTAGGGTTTAGGGTTTAGGGTTTAAGGTTTAGGGTTTAGGGTTTAGGGTGGAGGAGCTCACCGAGGCATCTTTGAGTTTGGGAGTTGAGCTGTCTGGGGCTCAGGGTTCCGATGGGCGTAGGGTGCAGGGCTTTTGGTGCAAGGGGTTTCGAGTTCATTACGAAGTGATGTTGAAGGTGTGTGAGCTTAGGATCAAGAACTGTAGGGTCCGAGGGCACAGGGCCGAGGGTGTAGTAGTGGGTTGAGCTAATGGCTAAATTCAGATTGAAGAGAACGGACCGAAGCAGGTCCGCGAGAAGGAGCAGGCAGAACAGACCCGGCAAAAGGCGCAGGCGGAATCTTGGACTGCATGAACCTGCCCCAAGAGCGACGTCTAAAACAGGCTCACTTGAGATCTGAGTTGATAAGATGTGGTGGTGCACAGACAGCAATCGGCTGCATATGCTGCGAGGGCACGCCGGCTGGTTCGTATGCAAGGGAAGTGCATGAGCAGCGCTCAAGCCAAGGAGAAGTCAGCTACCATTGAGAAACTGAAGAATCTGGGCTGCAACTGCGTCACCGGCTCTACATCCGACACAAGAGTTGCACAACTCCTCTTATGCCCCAAATGATCCGCATGTATCCCTTAAGTTCCTCCTTTTGGTAGTTCCCGCAAACGGGGGGACTTCCACATATTACATTCCTTATTCCGGGGACCATGTTGGATGTAACGGAAGCCAGATTTCCAGTACCTAAACCCTAAACAAACCCAAATCCTAAACCCTAAACCCTAAACAACAGAAGCCAGATTGTCAGGACCGCCTTCCTGGACTGCACGGAAGACCTCTTTGAAGAGATGTTTTCCAAGGAGGTGGAACCTGAGAATGTGCTGGTCTTGCAGTGCTACCAAGGGCTGAAGGAGGACCTCCTTTAGGGCTTGAGGGTGGTAGGGTTTAGGGTTTAGCTCCTTTGGGTTTAGGGTTGTAGGGTTTGCGTCATTTTTGTGGAATTTTGGATCACTTTGAGGTTGAGGGGCTTGGGGTTCAGGGTCAAGTTTGGATGTGCATCCCTTCAGTGGGTTGTCAAGATACTAGCTGTATAAGGCGCTGCCTGCAAACACCTCGGCCCGCCTTGGTCCAAGCCCGTGTTTAAGCCCCTGTTCAAACGGGAACTGTAGGGTTGGAACCAGTTTGGGGGTTCGTTTTTGGAACCAATTCGGGGTTTCAAGAGGTGCTCTTGTCAACCTGTGCAGCCGTCGGCGCTCTTGTCAACCTGTGCAGCCGTCGGCGGCTGCATACTTTTTGTGCGGGGTTATCCGTACTATTCGTACGGCAAGTTCTGGTCCCGAGTTATGAGAGCATGTCGATCCAGTCAGGGGACAAGGGCATCAAACCTAGAAAGTAGGGTCTACATCGTCGCAAGCTCGCCCTGCACGCTGCCAGGACTATCGGGACAAGCTCTCAGAAGAAATCAAGGGACTGCGGGCTCGGATGGAGGACCTTTACAGAGAGCAGAGTCGAGCAGACAGTGAATTGATACTCCATGCAGGTTTGTGTGCAAGGTCAACGTGCGTTCTGAAGTTCTGAGCTTCCTGTTCTGCGCAGGAGAAGAATGAGGTTCGCCTGCGAAAAGTTTCTGCCTTCGAAAAGGCCACAGCTTGAAGACACTCGAAGATTGCTCCATTTGAGGGACCCTTGCCTCAACCTTTTCCCAATCGGCAGGCCATCTACGCTTCAGAAAAAGAGAGCGAAGATGAAGCATTCCAGCAGATCCGAGACTTCAAGAGTCTGGGTTGCTGTTAAGGAATTTAGTTTAAGTTACCATAATGGGTATATATATATAGTAAATAATTGGGTTTCCCCAATATAGTAACTTAATTTAAGTTCCTTAACAGCAACCCAGGAGTGTCAAGAAGAAAGTGCTGCCGCGGCCCAAGCTGTAAAGACGGCCCCAGGGGC